AAATTTTTCTAAGTGCCATGAAGACATTTCCATAGCAAGAGCATCAATGTGTTAAAGGATTAGACAATTGAAATGGCAGTTTCTTATTCAAAAAGAACTTCTGTAGGCATAGAATCACTAAAATAGAGCCTTATATACATGTTGCTGGGTTGAGGACACTTTCTTTGATTAAATGTTTCTTTTTTAAAATTCATTTTCTTAAGCTCAAGTAGATCTGCCTAGTACAGACATGATTTTTCATGAGTGGATTAAAAGTGGGGAAAATTAGCCTTCCATTTAGGTTCCCAATTCCTCAAGAAAGTATTTTGCAAATCTCTTGCCAATGTGCATTATGGTGATGGTACAAATTTCTTAGAAATGATTTATATGAGGAATGAGACCCATATACTTTCTGAATTATTTTAGCATCATTCCTTTGTGATGAGTGAAAGCTCATTCATAAAGAAGTGGGTTATCATGTATAACATTTTTTCTATTTTGGATTACTAGTCTTTGTTTCTTTTATTTGTTTTTATTGGTGTATCATAACTCTACATGACAGAGGGATTCATTTTGCAATATTCATATATGCACGTAATTTGATCAATCTTGTACCTTCCTTTTCTTTGCTCTTATCTCCCCTCCCCTCAATCTATTTGATCTACTCCACTGATCTCCTATTATTGTTGTTGTTTTAATCTGTGCACTATTCTATGTACATTAAATTCACTGTAGTATATTAGCACATAGATATAGCAGAACTTTATAGACTTCATTCCCTAGTACTTTTCCATGCACTCCTCTTCTCCCTCCTTCTCAATCCCTTTCCTCTACTCTATTTGTGTTCCTTCTAATTTTGAGAGATTTCCCCTGCCTTTTTGTATAATATGTGTAAAATTTGCAAATACTTGCTGGATTCAAAAACTATGGCAAAAGACATTGTGAGAAAAATTTTAAAAGCTCCATACTACAACCATAGCTGGCTTAGATCTCTTACTCATTGGAGTAAAATCCCATTGCTCTGGGATCCTGTCACCTGCTAGACAGCATTCCTGGGTAAAAACCTGACATCAGGTGATGTGAACTAAGTGACAATCCAAATTTCATCCTACAGAATTATAAATGATCTACTTAAAGTGGTTCTTATAAAATCTGTGTTCTGGAGCTGGATTGTGGCTCAGTGGTAGAGCACTTACCTAGCATGGGGGACCTTGGGTTCAATTCCCAGCACTGCATATAAATAAATAAAATAAAGGTCCATTGACAACTAAAAAATAAATAAATAAAATACAATAAAATCTGTGTTCTGCTTCTTAGATGTGAACAGTTAATACTGGGAACCTCCACAACCTATTCATGGCTTATTACAGCTAAAATAACCTACATATTTTATGGACCATCAACTGGGGTTACTTTTGATAAAAGCTCTCTACTTGATATGAAGCACAGATACTTATTTATTTTTATTTCTTTGAATCAGAATCTTTTCTTTTTATCCTAGAAAGTGATACAATCTCTCTAGGTAAGAACTTTTCTTGATTTTTGTCATCCAATTTTGTTCTAGACCAAATGAATTTTAAAGGCAAAAATATAAGAAGCCAATGAAACAAACTACTAAAACTTGATGACTTTAGGTTGAGAGTATAAAAAATGTCCACTGCAGTAGTCACTCAAGTTTTTGAGCTGATTTCAAATTTTTTCAAAATGAAAAGTTGGTGGGGAAAAGTAGTTGTTCTTACTGGACTTTATCATGAATGGCACATAGCTAATTTCATAAAAGAAATTCCCACAATTAACAGTTTGGAGAAACCTAATATAGCTCTGAAATATAAGTAGTGATGATCTCATCCAGCAGTTAGAAATGTAAACCTATGAAACAGCAACTAATAACGCTAGCGAAAATACATTATCAGCATCCCCATAAGCTCCCCAACTGTCCTTGGGGAAGAAACAGCTGTGAGAGCCCTAATCCTGGCTCCACAGACACTTAGGAACACAGATCTCTGCTGCAGGAGCCTTTGTTCTGCTTCCAGCCGGATAAATGGAAAGCCTTTCAGCATGACTTCCAAGAAGCAGACAGATGGAGAGAAAACTCTACAATGTGCTCTCAAGCTGACTTCCTGGGGATTTACTCAGGGGTTCCCAGGTGGAAGCCAAATGAAAATATGTGTTGGTCACCCGTACACACAGTGGATTTACCCCTTCACCAACCCCCGCCTTTTCTTTTTGACTATTATTCATATCTCACCTTGGTCACTAGAGGTCATTCATTAACTCATACATTCAATCAATGAGTCTTGCTCTCAGCTATGTATAAGACACTGAGGAGTCCTTGCTCACTAAAAAAGACAGCCCTGAACAAGAAGGACAGAGACTCCCCACCCTGACTGCACATGAAAATCAACAGGGAAACTTCATAAAATTGTAGATGCCCAGGGCCTTACATCCACAGATTCTGATTTAGTAGGTGTGGAATGGAATGTCTGTATTTTTAAATAGCTTTGTAGGTAAGTTTGGTGAGTGATTAGTGATAAGATCCACTGAGGCAGCTGTAAGCCGACTCAGCTGAGATCCTTTATTAGCACAAAGACTGCCTCAGTGGAATGACACTTTCAATCCCTAAAACCACAAGGTTTAGAATGAGACTCTGTAGAAATGATATAAGAGATCATGTATCTAGCTCTGCTCCAAAATCTGCCCCCCACTGCCTCCCACCACACAAACTCGCATATCCACAACTCTAGATTCCCAGCACACTAGATCAGAGTCTACATCTTCAAGCTGCCCATGTTCTCTGGTTGTAAGAATTTCACACTTCCCATGCCCAGACAGAACTTTTATCTCTCCCCCAACAAACCTGCTTCTCCCTTAGTCATCCCTATATCAACAAAAAGCCATCTGCATTCATGTAGCGATTTAAGCCAGAAAACTGGAAGTCTTCTTACTTCTTCCTGCAAACGTATCTCACTCAGATCCATCTATCTCCACTGTCTCCACCATTGTTCTCTCTCACCCAGTTTGGAATGATAGCCTTCTGCCTAATATCCTCATTTCCTCACCTTCTTCTAATCCACCCTCCACTCAGAAGTTACCTTTTTGAAATACCAATCAGGATATGTCACTCTTACTTAAAATCCTTCAGCTAGGTTTCATTGAATACTGAGTAAAAGCCAAATTCCTGAGTGAGGACTGCTTGGTATTCTGTGAAACAACTTTTGCCTACCTCAGCGTCACTTTCGATTAATACTCTCGAGTCAGACTGAACTGCTTTTCAGTTCCTCAAATCAGTAAGTGATTTCCCATCTCAAAGTCTTAATACACACTGTTCTCACTCCCTGGACATGCTCTTCTCTACCTCTTTACTGGACCAACTCCTCCTCATCTCTTAAGTGTAAGTTAAAATGTCCTTTCCTCAGTGAGGACTTTCTTTATCCCAGATTTTAAAAGGGAATTTCTCTGTTCCTTGTTTATGACATCTACATGTTATGATTTGAATTGTATCTCACCCCCCCAAAAAACGGAAGGGTGAATCCTTACCCCCAGTGTCTTAGAAGATAATCTTGTTTGAAGACAGGAACTTTGCAAAAGTAGTCAAGTTAAAATGAGGTCATTAGGCTGGGGATGTAGCTCAGTGATAGAGCACTTGCCTAGCATGCTCAGGCCCTGAGTTCAATCCCCAGTACCACACATACTCACACAAAAAAAACAGTTTAGTATGGGGCCTAATCCAATATGACAGATGTGAGAAGAGGAAATTTGAACACAGATACACATAGAAGGAAGAGAATGTGACAAGACGTGGGGAGAAGAGAATCACTTATAAGTCAAGGAGAGAGGCTTGGAACAGACTATTCCTCACAATTCTCAGAAGGAAAAAAAACCTGCCAATAACTTGACATTTGTCTACAAGCCTCCAGAACAGAGAAAGAATAATTTCTGTTCCTTCAGCCACCCAGTATGTTAAGTCTGTTACATCAGACTTAACAAAATAATATATTATCCATCTATGTCATAATATTTATCACAATTTTAAATTGCATGTGTGTTCATTTGTTTAATGTTGGCCTCTTTCACCAGATGATAATCTTCAGAATGACAGGAACTGCATCTGTGTTTGCTGATTTATTTAACATTATTACCAACCATTGCACTATGTGCTGTCCCAAGAAAGGCCAGTGTTCACCAAAAGCAGAGAGGAAGTTAGAACATCGAGAACATATGTTGGATGGTCTAGAACAGATATAGGAAAACTACAGTCCCTGGTCCAAATCTGGCCCACATTCTGTTTCCATAAGACACATGAGCTGGAGTTTTCACATTTTACACAATTAGGAAAAAATATTTAGTGATATGTGAACATTACATGAAATTAAAAATTTAGGTTCATAAATAAAGTTTTATTGAAATATAGACACATTCAATTACACATTGTCTACACATGCCTTCATGCTACGAAGGAGAGTTACGTAATTGTGACAAGAACCACATTGCCTAAAATATTCACTATTTGGCTAATTTTAGAAAAAGGAACCTGCTGAGCACTGGTCTAGAACATGGTTTATGAGCTACAAACTGGCCAGGGGTGCTTAACTTCCAGGTGACATAATGCTATAGCTCACATCCTGGCACATTTGGTGTTCTAGAATATCATTATGACACAAAGTAACCAGCATGTGCACCTGTTTTCCACCCAAAGGACATTACAGACTACTGAAAAATTCTTCTCCCTAAGAGAACATAGTTCTGGTTTTATTAATAAAAATAACAAAAAATGATTTACTGATTACAAATTTTCAATTTCCTTGGAACTTTGATAGAAAGTATGTTCTCATAAAAAGTGTAAAAGTAAATGGATGGGTCATGATTATCATTGCCAGATACACAAATATGTCGACCCAAAATTAACCTATACCATAGAAGCCAGTTCTTAGATATAAATCTATTTAATACAGGTTGATTTAAAAAGTAAGGACAAAACATGGGAGTGGTTATGTTCATATTCACACAAAAGTACCATTTACCTTTGGTGGAGGAATGAACCGAACACATTCCAGCCATATGGATAAAAAATATTTTCCACATATTGGACATTTTTTTCCCTGAGAGATTAAGTTCCTGACCTCTGGATATTGTTCAATAGCACACATTAGGAAAGGATGCTTTTTTGCTAGCTGATTCATGACATATCTTGATGTTATTTCCTAAATTAAAAAAGAAGAATATGGTTTCTAAAATTGTTTTTTAAATCTTACATTTGTTGATTCCCATTTTACTAATTCAAATTTCTTATTCCTAAGTTTTTGTTAAATGAAGATTTTTCAGTATAATGAATTAGGTTGTAAAGGACTGACATTGTAAATAAGTTTGGTTTTAATTAATATAAGTAAGTTGCTTCCATGGTAATACATTTATGTCTCCCGCATACAGGAATCAAAGTCACAATAAATTTGCACTACCTGTTTTATAAAGTAATATATAGTTTACACTCAAATTTGATATATTTCATTTTAGTAAGCAGGACCGCACAAACATTCTGACTGGACTCAAAAATTGAGTGTGTCATATTCACTAAGGTCTAAATAATTTTTATAATCACGACTTACAAGCCAGTATCATCTTCATCAATTAGCAGCTTATCAGGAATGAAGAATCCCAACTATATACCAGTTGTACAGAATCAAAATCTCAACAAAGTGCCCAAGTAATCTGTGGGCATATTAAAGTTTAAGAAGGGCTGTATTAAGTACCTGAATATGCCACCTTGTTCAAGAGCAATAACCTCTATGAACTAAATCTCTGAATTCAACCTCTGTTAGACATGGTTACATAGGTGTTCAACTGATTTGTGCAATAATAATATTATAATATTAAATAATAATAGAGGTAGTGAGGAAATGGAAGTTGCCTTTCGCCAGGACCATCAGCAATATATCATCCTAAAGTAAAAGTATATAATATATAATATGTAAAATCATATCTTCACTAAGAACACAAACATTTGCCTCACTTCCTAAATGCTGCCCGTTGTCTATACCAGTAGCACAGAAGTCCTGTATAACTGTAACACAAACACTGCTTAAAAATGCTAATGGTATATGGGCATAGTTTACTTGGGACACTTTTTCTCCTGGCCAAACTGAAAGAATTCCCAGGAGGATAAGAATAGTCTACATCAGGCTCTGATAGGAATCTTTGGGAATATATGCATGCATGCATAAATACATAATCTTTCACTCATTAACCCCAATTAAAATCATTAAAATTTTTTAAATAAAAACAAACTCCTGCAAATTCCTACAGCCCTGTTCCCTTATCCCTCCCACTTAACAAGAGACTAGGGAGTTGCTTTTATGCTGCAAACAACCCTGAGTGTGTGTTCCTTAAATGTCTGATCCTTCAATAGCACAACCTCCTACCGGATTCAGCTCATTCTCCTGGGTGGTTATAGGACTGAGGTCGGCTGAAAGAATGAATCTGAAAGCACTAATATTACCAGGACTCCTAATTCAGATGTCCAACGCCCCCCTTTTTCAAACTATGTAAGCAGAGCCTAGCTGGTGATTCTAAATGAAATACATTGTTAGCTACATGAATTCAGTGGTTAGGTCTCACTATAAAGCTGAAGAAAATTCATGGGTAAGTATTCATCACCCCCAAACAGAATTTGTTGAAATGCATGGGACCTATAAATAGGTTCGTATAGATCATTTTTCCCCTGCATGATTGCTGGACCCAAACATATTTGTTGCACTAAGTATATCTTGACAATTCTGACATCAACCTTTCTTTATATTCTTCTATTTGCTGCCAATGTGTTACTTTGGAGGAATAAATGTACACCAATAAAATATAAAGTAAAGCTATTACCTGGAAATGCAAGTATATATAAAGTAAAATACTATTTACCTGAACAATAGTACCTTTTAGAACACCTCTTAGAGATACATTCAATGCATTTTGGGGGGCAATAAACAATTTAGTAATGGCCTAAGTACAGTGTTATTAAAAATTAGTAAATCTTTTATAGGCAAATAAATTGTTCATTTTGAATGGCTTATATGTTATTATTAGAATATTTGTAAGCCAACTTATGCAGGTCAGTTATTCCTATTTCTAATTCATTATAAATTGGAATTATTTTCATGGGAATTATTTTATTTTTCCTTACATGTGATTATTTCATTTATGTTATGAAATTATACATCTATGATTTGTATTTATATAAGTATAAAAATTTTAAATGTAGAAACAAATATGAAACCTTAGAAGAAATGATAGGCTTTATAACTATTTCAAAAACAGCTGTCATGTTGTATATGACAGGCACTAAGGAAAAATTTAAGAAGAATTCACTGTCAAATTCAAACAGATACGGAGGTTCAATCCTGGCTCTGGGATTTATAAGCTTTGCAACCGTATTTGGACAAGCCTTTAACTTCTCTGATCTTGTATCCCTCCTTTAAAAAATAAGGATTTTTCCAATGCTGTCACATAGAGTTTTGAGAATTCAATCAGCTAACACTGGTAAAACAGCATAGCAGGTATAATGCAATACATTCTGGTTAATATTTTGTTATAACTTAGTTATGAACATTCAATTTTAGCTTACCTATCTCTGAGATGAAGTTTTTAAAAATTCTCTACCAAGTCATGACTATTTCAAAACTATAATTTTTTGACACCCAAAGGAGGGAGTTTAATCAGTAACATTAACCAAAAATCTAGTCAAAATGATTGTGACTTTAAGTACAAATATATAATTTATAATCAATTTAAGTCACCTTTCTAAGAAAAATTCTTGGAGATATTTTTTAAAATACCCAAATATTTCACATACTGCAAGAAAATAGTAATTCTTATGAGTATAAGCATATATTTATCTTATATATTTATTACATGTAATGCTTGTGTGCATATAAAATTAGCTCTTGTGCTTCTGGACCTTATAGTTTTGAAAATTAGAAGAACAAAATATTGCTGTGTCACCTTGAGTGTTGGCAATATTCTTGCCCTTGAAGTCTGTCTGAGAGATTGCTGCCATATTGGGTTACCTGGTCATCCAGCCTCCTTCACAAATCAGAATCTCCTCAGACCAGGACTACCCAGTCTCCATTTTCCTCACCTTCCTTCATCCAATTTCTGAGGCAATATTGCAATAGAAGTTTAGTGTTCAATTCTTTAACCTGATATCAATGTTCAAACACTATTTCTGTGACCTTGAACAGGTTATATAACCTCTCTGGGTCTGTTTCTCCATAAAAAGGGGACCATAATGGTACCTACCTTTCCAGTGTTTTTAAAGAACTGCATTATCAATTTCTGCTAAATACTTAGAACACTTAAATTCCTGCCTTGCTCACAGGAAGCTTAAATAAGTGTTAGCTGCTGATATTCGGAAATATTCTATACTATTCTGATGCAGGAGGAAAAATGAGTCGTAAGGAATTAAATAAATTGAAAGCTACAATTTTTCAATGATTTAGGATCGAATTTCAAAAATGAGTATTTTTCCACACAACAGTAGGAAATAATATTCTTTATAGAAATATTCTCTAGAAGGAAAATTTGAAAAGAACTAATCTGTAAAAGAATCCAAATCTTTGCTCCACCAGTTTCATTCCTGGAGATGTGGACATGAGCTAGACATTTACTGTGAGTATGGTCATTGTTGCCTTAGACAATATAAAATATAAAAACCAAAAAGCCAAAACTTATTAATAATTCAAATAGGAGGAAGTAGTTAAAATGTTATGACATAACAGAATACCATATTTCTATCAAAAAAGATGTCAATCTCTTTTCCTGACTGGAAAAAAATTCACAATACTTTTTTTTAAGTGAAAACAACAAGTGTAATGTGTAGAGTTTGAATTCATCTTTGATTTAAAACACATCTGTATTCTTAGGAAGTTTCTAGAACAACAATGTCACAGAGAAGAGTGGTTATATCTATGCACACTAGAATTCTGAGTACTTTTTATCAGTTTCTAATTTCTTTACTCATGGTAAGAATCTTCCCAAAGCAGTATATTATAACTAATTTTTAGTTTCTTCTTTGTCCATCTGTATTTTCTAGTTTTCAGTAATTAGTATGTATGACTTATACAAAAAGGGTAAAATGTATTTTAAAACAAAAAATACTGAAATACTTGCTGAGGGTCACAGAACTGATCAGTGCTAGAAAGGGATTTAATAACACAAGGTTGGTTGTTTCCTACAATAGGAAATGTGAACCCTATGCAATTCCTGAAAGTCCTATGACAATCTTACATGCTCAGCTAAGACCTAAATGGATCTGGGATAAGACCAAACTCATGATACCCAAATATGGGAGGATTTGCAATCTGTAACTTGTCGATTATGAATGCAATGCTTTACTATGCTTTCCTATTTCTTTTTTTAATATCACCAATGAGGGGCTTGGTGGCACATGTCCGTAATCTCAGCAACCCAAGAAGCTGAGGCAGGAGGTTCACAAGCTCAAGGCCAGTCTCAGCAACTCAGTGAAGCCCTCCACAACTTTGCAAGACCCTGTCTCAAAAAATAAGAATGTCTGGGGATGTGAGTCAGTGTTTACACCTTCCTCTCCCCCTGCCCCCAGGTTCACTTTCAAGTACAAAAAAAAAAATTCATCTTGTTTTACTAAAGTAAACATGAGTTCTGGATCATATTCATTCAGTCAGTAGGAATGGAGACAAATGAAAAGGAGATAGAAGAGGTAAAGAACCCACTAAAACAAATCAAATGCATCTTTAGATGATACAGGAAAAAGTACTTAGAAGGCCAAAGTGAAAATAAAGTCCACTCTTTTGTTCCAACAAAATATTTCCATTTCTCTGTGTTTAGTCACTCTGGAAATCAGACAGGATTACACTGGATTTTGTAAGCAAGTCAAAAAATTATGTGTAGGATTCACATTGCCAATGGTCTTATGTTACATTAATCATTTGTTGGCTTGGCCAGAACACTTTAAAAGAAAGACCTTTTAAACTTTAAACCATGGCTTTAGTTTGAAGACTTATGGTGAATGAAGTAAACCTTCACCTGTAAACTCCAGATGTCCTCTTGTTGCACAGCAATGGCTGGCCGCTTCACGAAAAGTGGGTTTTCCTCACAGTAGAATTCCTTCAGCTTCAGATTCTGAAACTTTTAAAACAAAATGACAGATGTCACCACCAAAGCTGCATCTCCAATAAAATTAGACTAGAATTATTTAAGGCATTCTAAATTAATATTTTTTAAATGGGACATCTTCTAGAAGATGTCATTAGAAGTATAAGAATTTTAATGCTGGTATGAATGGGCAGAATCTTAAAGGTCCCTGGTCACATCCCCCATACTGAGTGGCTGAGAACACTTGCCGAGGTTCACAGAACTGATCAGTGCTATAAAGGGGTTAATAACACAAATGCTGGGAACATTTTGGAAATACACGTTAGGAAACCAAGCATGATGAAAAATATTCTGAAATGCAGCATACTCCAAATTTCAAAGATTGTCTTAGCATCCATGTTTGTCCAGTGAAGAGCCCAAGAACTTATGTGGTTTTAAAAGTTAAACTTGTTCAAGGAATTACATCTCTGAGCCTGAATTCTGCAATAAAATGAGGACAATAAAATGAAGATAGGACTGAACCTATCTTCGGTGTTATGCTAGTCAACAAGTACCCTGGGAGAAAGAATGATTAAGCGAGGAAGGAAAAGAAGGAAAGAAGAGAAGAAGGCAAGAAGGAAAGAAGAAAGAAAGACCCTGAACACAGAGTTGGAGAGACATATACAAAATCTACTCTTGTGAGCCAAGGTAAGTTGGCTCTGTCACAATGCAGCATCTCATAGAATTTATGGGAGAATTAGATTTCTGCAATTTCAGCCCAGGATTAGAAAGATAGCAAGCACTCAACAAATTATAAACAATTGATTTAAAACATCATTCCAGGGCACCATGTCATTAGGTTTCAAAAGTTACAGTAAAGCTTGAACAACATAGAAAAGACTTCTAAATAAAAAAGTCAGCTCAAGGCCTCTTTAGTATCACATTTAGTCCTGGTTTCACCATGGGCATTCATTCTAACTTTCTTAATGCAGTCTCCAGTGATATCCCACTCCAGGAAACAATCTAGAGAGTTGAATCTAAAGGCAGCCATAATTAAATGCGGGTTACTAAAATTAAAAGGGATACTTCCAGCACTTAATATTATACACAACCATTTTTTCCTCCTTGTCTTAATCAGTAGCAATCCATAATTTGTACCTAAACTCACAAAGGTTAAAAAATGAGCATCTTAGATATGTAAATAGCATCAATATATGTAAACCCCATTCAAATTTGACCCCAGTTCAGAGGACACGCATTTCTCTTTACAGTCATGTTTTCTTCCTTCAGGTCCTTTCACTATTATTCCATCAAGCATAGTAAAAAGAATTCTCCAGCTTGTAATCCAATACAAATACTATCTGAAAGAAGTTACCTTAATGGAAAGAAAGTCAATAACGCGTATCTTGCCACAGGTATGTTTCAATAACCTAAAGTCACACTGTTACGGGTTAGATATGAGGTGTCCCCCACAAGCTCACATGTGAGACAATGCAAGCAAGTTTAGAATTAAAATGCTTGGATTATAAAAGATTTAGCCTAATCAGTACATTAATCCTCTGATAGGGATTAACTGGGTGGTAAACGGTGTGACTGGAGGAGGTGGGTGGTTCGTTGGGGGCAGGCCTTTGGGGTTTATATTTTGTCTTTGTTGAACATAGTATTTTCCTTCCCCCTTTCTCTCTCCTTCTCTTTCTCTCCTTCTCTCCCTCCACCTTTCCCCCTTCTCTCTCTCTCTCTCTCTCTCTCTCTCTCTCTCTCTCTCCCCCCCCCCGCTTCCTCTTGAGATGTCCTTAGCTGTTGTTCTCCATCACACTCTTCCACAGATACTCGGCCTCACCTCAGGCCCTGAGGAATGGAGTTGGCTGTCTATGGACTGAGACCTCTGAAACCACTAGCCCCCAGATAAACTTTCCCTCCTCAAATTATTCTTGTCAGGTCTTTTAGCCACAGTGACAAAACAGCTGACTAAAACTCACATGGTCTCTTAATGTCCACTCTGAATATTACCAGGATGTGAATATTCACGTCCTCTCTCTTTAGAACTACTGGTTTCCCGTCAGCATAGCTTCTGAAGAAAACAAAATTATTTGTTATTGTGGTCACTCCAGTAGTAAAATCAGCTACATTCTCCCCTGATAATGAAACATTAACAAGGTCTGTTCAGAGTCTCAGTGCACGCCTGTTTAAACAGCCAGTGTTATGAGTTTAGTCTCAATTGAGATGATTTTGCACACACACCCTGCAGTTTTTACAGACATTTTTGTTGTCACAACTGGTAGGGGGAGTGCTCCTGGCATCTAGTTGGTAAAGACCAAAGACCAGGGATGCTACTAACACCCCTTGAGTACACAGGGCCCCAACAAGGTATTATCAAACCCAAAATATCAATAGTGCTGAAGTTGTGAAATTTGGTTTAAAGGCAGAAGAGCATAAAAAGACAATGACCCATCTGATTTGGAGAAGGAATTGGCAGCTCAAGGATGGATTCAAATTCAATTGAGGGTTTTCCTTTTTTTTTTTTTTTTAAGAAGTCTTGAGCATGGAGAAGGTAAGTGTTGTGGTTAAGATATGAGATTTCCCTCAAAAGCCCCTGTGTTAATGCAGGAATATTCATAGGTAAAATGATTGAATTGTGAAAGCTGTGACCTAATCAGTCCATCCTAGTTTGAATGGACTGACTGGTGGTAAGTGTAGGTACGTGAGATGGCACTGGAGGAGGTAAGTAACTAGGGGTGTGCCCTGGAAGGATACATCTTTCCATCAGCCTCTACCCCTCTATTTTCTTCCTGGCCACAGTGAGGTGAGCAGTACTCCTCTGTCATGCCTTTCTTCCATGATTTTGTGCCTCACCTTTGGCCCAGAGCAATGGACTCAACAAACCATGAACTGACCCTCTGAAACTGTGACCCAAAATAAACTTTCCCTTCTCTACACTGTTCTTGTCAAGTACTTTGGTCATAGCAAATGCAAAACTGACAGTAAATGACAATATAGACAGCTTAATGTAGAAGAGAAAGAAGGAATCGCTGAAAGAGAAATGATCAGGTCAAGAACACAGACTGATATTTGAATATTAACATCTTTTAGTTATGTTCTTCTCTGTGGCCAGAGGAAAGAACGTGTAAAAGCTCCCATGGATACCTTTGAAGGAGTGGTATATTGTATGTTGAAGGAGTCCAACATGATTCCTTCTATTTTGTCTTTGAAATGGAAAGACTATCCGTCAAGTTTTTCAGCATGGTATTAGTGTGGAAAGAGTCAAAAGTGGTGAAGATCTAGAACATGCTATAGGATTCAGGGGAGGAATCTAGATAGGGTAGATAGGGATATGCAGACATTTGACACATAATTGCTGCGGAACCTACTGAATCCACACATTAGTGATGGTCCCTGTCACTTCTCCTTAGCACCCAGTATCCCAGATCCAACATTTAGAACTTGCAGAATGGGTATATCATAAAATAAGGGAATTAGCATATTACATGTTCTGAACAATAAAAGGTAGGACTATTCTTTTATGGCCCAGATTGGATAAAGAAAGAAATAACACTATAAATCACTATTAGACCAAGAAGTTAAAAAAAAAAAAAGTAGGCCCAAATGTTCACCATACAAAGACTCCTAAAGCACAAGAAGTAAAATCAAGAATCAATAAATGGGATGGATTCAAACAAAAAAGCTTCAGAAAAAAAGTCAATAATGTGAACAGAGAGCCTACGGAATGGGAAGAAATCTTTACCACATATACCTCATATAGAGTATTAATCTCCAGGATATATAAAGAACTCAAAAAACTTAACACCAAAAAAACAAATAACTCAATAAATAAATGGGCTAAGGATCTGAACAGGTACATCACAGAAGAAGAAATACAATCAATCAGCTAATATACACAAAGATATATGACATCTCTAGCAATTATAGAAATGAAAATCAGAACTACTCTACAATTTCATCTCACTCCAGTAAGAATGGCAATTTTCAATAATACAAGCAACAATAAATATTAGCAAAGATGTGAAAGAAATTGGTTGCAAATTGGTGCAACCATTATGAAAAGTGATATGGAGATTCCTCAGAAAACTTGGAATGGAACTACCATTTGACCCAGCTATTCCACTCCTCAGTTTATACCTAAAGGACTTAAAATTAGCATACTATAGTGACATGACCACATCAATGTTTATAGCAGCTCAACTCAAAATAGATAAACTATGAAACCAACCTAGGTATCCTTCAACAGATGAATGGATTAAAAATGTGGTATATTTATACAAGGAATATTGCTCAGTCTTAAAGAAGAATGAAATTATGGCATTTGCCAGTAAAGGGATGGAGCTAGAGAATATCATACAAAGCCAAATAAACCAGTCCCAAAGAACTAAAATCTGAATGTGTTCTCTGTTATATGGATGTTAATTTTCAATGTTGGGGGCAGCTAGGGAAGAATAGAGTTACTTTAGATTAGGTAGAGGGGGTGAAGGGAGGGGAGGGGGTATGAGGGTAGGAAAAATAGTAGCATGAATCAGACATTATTACCCTATGTACATATAGGACAACACAACCGGTGTGATGTACAACCAAAAGAATGAGAAATTATACTCCATTTATGTATAATATGTCAAAGTCCATTCTACTGTCATACACAACTAATTAGAACAAATTTTTAAAAGTAGAGGGACATGAAATCTCAATGACCTAAGTGAAAAGACATGGCTATAAAGTAGTAAGAGAGCTTGAACATAGGAAGAACCAGTGGTCAGATTGTCATTCTGGACTTTAATTCTTCAAATTTAGATCAGGTGAAGATGATGTCAAGATCTAGACATGACTGTATATATGGTTTCAGGAAGTAAAGACTGAGGAAGCTCATTGAAATCAAGGATTCAAGGGGCTAAGAGAATATAGCTCAGTAGTAGAGCATTTGCCTGGCATACATGAGGACCCAGGCTTGATTCCCAGCACCACAGGAAAGAAGAGAGAGACAGAGGGTGGTTTAGTCAGCTTTTTTGTTGCTATGACTGAAAGATCTGATCAGCACAACTGTAGGG